TTACTCTCTCTCTGTCCACACCTCCCCCCCCCCTTGTTTTTTTATATAGGTTATCTGTATATAGTTCTGGCTGCTCTGGAACTTGTTATGCAGACCAGGCTGGCCTCCAACTCAAGAGACCCGACCTGCCTCTGCCTCCTGAGTGCTGGGATTAAAGCACTAGGACTACCCAGAGCTCTTAAAGAAACAGCACATTTGGGGATTTGGGAGTATATGACAGGAACAGACAGGACATAGCACGGTGGGGAGTGCAGGCTGCATCCCAGGGAAGGAAAAGGAGGAATCGAAAAGGAAGGCACATGGACACACACCCTCCAGATCTCTATGTGGATGTTTGCTTTGGAAAGGGATTGCTCTGACAATAAGCTCCTCATGTGGATTCTGGATCCATAGGAAGGGACTGTGTAGAGGAGCAACTGAGCAGCATGACTCTTTGCTGCAGGTCTGCTTCAAGGCAACAAGCAGTACATGGAAGTAGACAAGAGAGCAGTGAATCGATGTCCCAGAGACTCAAGATCCGGGCCATAAGCCTGAGACAAGTCCCTGTTCCCTCTTTGGAGTTGTTTCCTAGCTATACACTGAGGGTCCAGGACAGGTCAGCATCATCATCTTTTTTATTATCATCACTCTCATGTAGCCTAAGCTGGCCTTAAAGTCATTATGCAGTCAAGGGTGGCTTGAGTTCCTGACCCTTCTTCCCCTATATTCCATGTGTTGGGATTAAGTTTAACACCTCGTGCACTACCATTGCTGGATTTCTGTGCTGCTGGGCATGGAATTCTGGACTTTGTGTTAGGTAAGTCCTCAACTCCTTCCGCTAGTCTCAGGCCTGAGGAGCCAGGACAGGCAACGTCACAGTCTCTTTCTCCCTGACATCTTGCTAGCCTGGGCCCACGAGCTAGACAGCTAGCAATGTAGCGTGTCAACGTGTCCCTGGCTGTGGAGGGTGGGCAATACTCTCCCCTCTGCTCACCCTCAGAATGGAGATACGGAACCTCAGCATGGGGAGATGGGTGCTTGCTGAACAGACCACTCTGCTCCCTCAGTCTGACCACCAGGGCCCCTGACCATACCTGACCCACAGCCCCTGCAGGCTCCATTCAGTACAGGCCACAGAAGCCCATCTGGCACTTGGGTGGTTTACAGCTAAGCACCCAGTCCCTTTTCTTTCAGGGAAAGACAGCCTGGGCAGGAGCCCCACCCTCTGACTCACAGCGGCTGGAAACCTGTCATCCAACACCCACTTTGTTTCTGTCCATGACAGCTTCCTGTGGCTATGGAGCACAATCCACTTTTCCCAGGGATTGTCCTGTGTAAGTTGGCAAGGCTTTTGTTACTGTCAGGCATTTTCTTTAGAGTTTCCATCACAGGTGAGCGAGCCCAGGTTCCTGCTCTCCAGGCACAACTGAAGGGCCTAATGAAGTCTGCCTTTCTCCAGGGAAAGGAGGGGATGGGAAGGCAGTGTGACTTTCCCAGAAGCCTTGTTACTTTGTGTGCTGCTGTGTCCTGGCTCAGAAGAAGCCTGCCAAATGACAGTCAAGCTGTTCACAGAAAACCACATCAAGGGGGCTGGGGAACAAAAGGATGAGGCCTGACTATTGTCAGCATGAGGCCATGAGTCCCACTGCACGTGTCCTTTCTGGTAACAGCACTGAGACAATGGTCTGAGATGACCATTGTCTATGGTCTATGCCTGTGGATAGACTGCCCTGTGTCCCCAGAATGACACTGTGGCCTTCCAGGGTAAGCTGTGTATGACTAAGGAGAGGTTGTTTTCATAAAGTGTTGTTATATAGTCTATGCTGACACTCACTGTCCAGCACTAGCCCCTCGTGCTGGGATTACAGCTATGTGCCATCATGCTCACTGACCAGCAACTTTTTTTTTTTGGACTATGTGTTGTATGTGCGTTAATATAAGTGCAGGAGTATGCATGTGGAGGTCAGAGGACAACCTCACATGTAGACCCTGGCCATCCACCTTGAAGCAGGGTCTCTCGTTCATCTCTGTGTATGCCAGGGTGCATATGCCAGGCAAGGGGCCTGTGAGTTTCAGGTGGTCCTCTTGTCTTTGAGTCCCATTTCAGTGCGTGAGTGCTGGGATTATTGATATCTTACCACATTTGCTTTTATGTGGGCTCTGAACTCAGGTCTTCATGCCGGTGTGGCAACTGCTTTATGCCCTGAATCATCTCCCTAGCCACCAATAAGGGCTCTGGCCTCACACCCACACTGACACAAGTCCTGAACACTGTATCAGTGCTGCAATTCACTCCATCTGGTTACTGTTAATGGTGACTCTGGCTTAACATTCAGCCAGGGCCATTCATGCTCAAGAAACAGCTCATATGACAGGAATGTCTCACGGAAGCTTTATTTGAATGGGTCATATCTAGAGTTCTTGTTCAGTGTACAGACATCTCATAGTTCAATGTAGTGCTTCTAACACAAGCCACATACAGTGGGAACTCAATGAAGATAATGCATTTGATACAAAAATAAATTACAGTTTCATAGCTACTGCACAGATTACCATGTAGAAAGAGTAAACACAAAATAGTTGGTGAGTCCTCATAAGCATCTACTGTATCTAGATGTGAAAAACAGAAGGAGTAAGGGTTTCATGAAAAGACATACACACACATACGCAAATGCACAACACACACTCACACCCTCACCTCTCTGATAAAGAGAAATCCTGAGAATTAGTGGATATCACCCCAACAATGCAATAAAAAAGGAAGAAAAACAGCCTCACCAGCAAGTTCACACAGCAGAACACAGCTTAGGACGAGTGTCCATAGTGCAAACCAAGTTCCTCATCCTGGAAGCACAGGAATGTTTCCAGTCCATCCTGACCATCCATAAACCCAGGTTTAGTTTTTGTTTTTTTTTTCCAGTAAAAAAGCACAAACAATCTATAAACACACATTCTTTATTACACAGGTGTAAGCAAGTTTCCAGTCAACTGAATGGCCAAGAGACAGAGTACATAATAGTATCTCACCAAGACTCCACAGCTCCACCATCTCATCTTGCAGCTCATGGACAAGCAGAGTCCTGAAGTGCTGCCTGCCTCGAGTGGCTGCTGGTGCGCAGAGCATCAACTCCAGGCAGCACTCCACTGTGTTCAGAGATGGGAACCGGCACTTAGAGCTTCGCTGTGGATGAGCTCTAGCGGACAGTGATGGGAGTCTGCCCTCTGATGCTGCAGTACAACACCAGCAGAACTGAGAGGTCAAGTATTTTCTATCTCTGGCTCTCCATAGAATAAACTTACTGGGTCTGGGGACATGGCTTGGTGGCAGAGTGAGACAAGGACCTCACTATGTAGCCTTGGCTGCCTGAAACTCACAAAGATCTACCTGCCTCTGCCTGCTGAGTGCTGGGATTAAAGGCACCTGCCACCTTCCTAGCTCAAGGTACTGGCTCTGATCCCTAATAACTCAAAACCAAAGCCAATCAAACAAAAATCTTGTCAGAACAAGTATATGCTAGGCTTGGTGGTTCATGACTGACAACCCAGCATCTGAAAAGCTGAGGCAGGAGGATTGCTAGGATTTCAAGACCATACTGAGTTACATGGTGAGACCCTGTCTCAAAACAAAGTAAAGTAACAAATGAGTATATATTTGCTGAAGGAGAAGACAAGACCATTACTTAGAAAACATCCAAGTTGCCAGGCATGTCTTTAAACTTAGCACTTGGGAGGCAGAGGCAGGAGGATCTCTGAGTTCGAGATCAGCCTGGTCTACAGTACAGCCAAGGCTACACAGAGAAACCCTGTCTCAAAAAAAAAAAAAAAAAAAAAAAAAAAGAAAAACCCCCCCCCCCCACTTTTTTTTTTTGCCAGTTTAGCAACTAGCAAACAATCTAGCAAGGGACAGCAGAACTTTCTGGGGCTCAGTTAAGAGTAGAGAAGTCCAAGTTTTAGCCAGAACTGAGAAGAACAAGCAGTGGATCCTAATAGCTCAGAGTTCTCACCCCCAGGCGAGCCTGTGCAAAGCCTGGGTACAGTCAGCAGGACTGTCGGATAGAAGGCTAAGCAGTCTGTGTGTTGCTCTCTTCAGCGGCCTCCTGAGGACAGCAATGAAATAACCGAAAGTGCCGCCGGTGCGCAAAGGATTGCTACACACAAGCTGTCAGCTTCCAGATCCTCCCTCGGAGGTACACTCCTTTCCAGGTGCTGAGGTGGAGCCTAGGATTCCTAACTGATACCTTCACATCTTACTGAAAACTGCCATGCCAAGTCCTTACCCCTGCCAGAGACACATGTGAACCTTGTCCAGACACTCCCTCCCCTGCCCCGAAGGCAGCCTTACACTGCCAGTTGCCACCTCCAGCTTCACCATCAGCAAGTACTTCTCCCACCCCTAACCTACAGGTGCCCTCGGGCCTGTCTCACTAGACCACTACCATTCTCAGAGGAGCAGAGTACTGCTTGCTGTAATCGCACAGGAAACATCTGACAAGTGTTTAACCCGTTTGGGCAAACTCATCATTTAAGTATTAGCATCTACGCTTACTACCTGACACTAAGACATAGTATTTCTTTTTACTGGAGAGCCAAGCGAATCCTCACTAAGTCCCTAGCAAACATTTTGACTGGCAAGAATTCAGGTACCTGAAGACATAAATGCTACAGGGTACTTTCAGCTATTCAATCTTGAAGGGACGGTGCTCACTCCTAAACAGTACGGGGCATTTAGGACTTCTAAGCCACCATGCTTTTAGCTGTGTGTGTTATCAGAACAGCTAAGCTTGTAGGTCATCCAAGCCTTGTAGACACTGGAAATCTGACACCAAGTCCTGTGTGTCCTGGGTCAAGGCCCTGGTTCCAGGTGTCATACCGTTAGAAATGATTATCACTGAGTCCTGGCAAAACACTGCCAATGATCGCACAAGCTGCGCTGCTGGCCAAGGGGAGATAGCGAGCAAGAAGCGCAACTCTTGTCTCCTTTAGCAAAAGTGGCTTCTCAACTGCCCAGGTCCCCTGGAAACTGTAACCCCCCGAGCTTCCCAGACAGACACCAGTGTTTGCCTGAGTACATGATATGTCACAGAAAAGCCAGGGTAGTCTAAAGCACAGCTTTTTAAAGACCACAGAGCCAGATGTGCTCCTAGCTGAGAAGAATGTGTGCTCGACTCCGGGAGATATAGCTTAACACCAGTGCTTGGTAACAAGGAACTCCAATGGTTTTACCAATGCCTGTATATCATCCTCATTCCTCATGGTAACTGAGGTCCCCATCTTTCAGCCCAAGCAGTTAAAGCTACTTTAATGTCATTTCTGTGTGCTGGGATTAAAGGTGCATACATATTTACTTTTCTACGGTGAGTGTGTACTACTTTAACATCAGAACTTCTGTTGCTACAGGCTAAGAGAATGGGAAATTCTAGAGAACTCTAAAAATGAATACAAAGAAAGCCCCTGATGTAAGCTGACTTCATTCGTTATACTGTGCAAGCTTCTTCAGTGATACTCATCCAAGAACCTAATCCCTCGGCCACCATTCCCCAGGCCTGCCAGATGTTTTCTTTTCTTGTCAGCTGGAAAGCCACAAATGCAGTGTATGCTGAAAGGAAACGGAGGCTCTGCCTGAACCGGTACTGACTGGAGGAGCACTGCCACACTGACCTTCACGACTGGTAAGCTCATTAAGGCTGAGTTTCCACTGGCTCAGGCTGCAGAGTTACACACAGCTGAGTGATGGAGAGGCTTCCTTAGGAAATGGGTCTGAAAAGTCCACACCTAGAAACTGATCTCTTTGTAGTTCCTAAAATTTGTCTTTGATGCAAATTTGGAGCAGTGAGATCATTACTACACAGAATTTAAAGTGTGGCTGACATCTTCAACCCTCTGTGTTCTCAGCTTCTCTAAGAATCCTAGAATGTGAGAGCTGGCTTGGGATCTACCTACACAGTGTTTTTATCCATATCCTAAATTCTGATTTCCAGGTAACGCACAGTAAAGTGGCATTCATTTTTCCAGCAGGTCAGGTGTGCTCACCCTGGCAGTACAGGGAAACAGAAAGGGAAAGGCTCCTGACAGCAAGCCTTGCCCTAAGTTATTTACAGTTGCAACCACTAGATGGAGCCAAGAGTTTGAAGGAAAGTAGTGAATTTCATTGACTTAGGAATTGGCAATGTGAATAAAATTAAAGGAAGAGGAGGAGGTATTTTCAGTTAAACAGCTTTGTGGGGTAGACTTCCAGTCGGACGGAAAATGTAGCTACCTTCTTTATGGAGTTAAAGTCAAATCCGGGTAGAAGGTTTTACCCAAGAGAAGGACACACTCAGCTGTACCCAGGGCTGACTAGGATGGCTGGGGCATTCCAGTTACAGGCGGGCAGCCCTCAGAGCTCAGTAGTCAGCAAGCACTTCTGCTTCAAGGCTGAGTCTTCAACCAAGGGAGGGGCAGAGCTGCAGGGAAGAGAGAAGCTTAGTCAGTGACGACGCATGTCTCCAGTGCCCATGTGGAGATGCTGAGAAGAGAGCGATGCAGGGCCATCACACAAGCAATGAGATATTCTGCAGGACACGTTTTTCGACATAGTCGATACTCCTGGTTCCCTGGCTACAACACGCATTTAATCCTTTCTTCATGAGACAAGCTTATGAATAGTAGGACAGTACTGTACTAAGCATAATAGCAGACCTTCTGCTTCTCCTTGAACCTGATTTTGCTTATCCTCTATGGTGAGGAGACTTCAGGATGGCCACAAAAGACTCATTTCAGCCATGCTCACACGCTTATCTAGTAAAAGCTACATCAGGGTCCTCACCTTGGGAATGTTGTCATGTCCCCCACCCCGCCCCGCACACTGTCACATGTATCACCATTCATCACTAAGAGATCAGGTACAATCGCAGGAATAAAGCAGGAGAGGATGAGTAAGAAACTGATTTTAAAACAAACACAGAGATTTAAAGATAAGTCTACTGTATTTTTATCTAGCAAAGACTTCACAAAGAAATCCTAATAATTTTATGGAAAATTACCAATAGCAAGAAAAAAAAACATGTTAAACAGTATTTATAGAAAAGACTTTCAGTCAGGCTGAATTAAGACCTTAAAGAACACTATTGTTTTAAATATAATCAACCTAATTTTTCTCAGGTGCTCTCCAAACTGCAACTGAGAAGTAATATCCTCACCTGGTCACAGCATCTACCAAGAATGGTGCTGGGGGGGAAATCAGTGAGAATCCAACTTTGTCACCACATTCTTCTATCCCTGCCAAGGCTGTTCCATGTCCTGTGAGCCCATTGGAGATGGCAGTACTGTGCTGTGGGAGAAGCACAACATGTCTTCACTAAGAGGTGACAACTTGCCCCATCAGCAGCTTCACATCAACTTCACTGACTGGGGAAGCTGTTTCCCTGCATGGGTGTGTTGCCTGCATGTATGTTTGTGTGACACCTGTGTGCCTGGTGCCTGCCTGTGGAGTCCAGAAAAGGGAGTCATATCCCCTGGGACTGGAAATCAAACTGAAGCCCTCTACAATAAAAGTAAGTGCTATTAATCACTGAGTCAGCTTTTCAGTCCCTTTCACCTCAGCTTTTCACTTTTATTCTGTCTGAATCATTTAACATTTATAGAAAAGTTAAGTCACAAATCTGAGGTCATTAGCGTAATACAGCCTTGATAATGGCCCCGATATTTGTAGGAAAAACAAGAATTTGAGAATCCTTTAGTATTCTGAAACTGTAACCCCCCCCCCCCATAAATATGAACTTACTGGAATAATCCACCGGGGTGTGATCATGGATGATGAAGACACCTAAAAAACACATTTCACAGCCACTTACTTTTAGGGAAGACTGACTTATTTTCATAATTACATGCATGATGTTTTTCTATCGTAGAATGCACTTTAGGGAATGCAATTCTCAATGAGCCTCTTGAGCTAACATTAACTTTCAACCTAGGCTTTCACTACACTCACACTACTCAACAGATTGTCAGGACTTTGAGAATCTTCTTAACAGAAAAAACTTTAACTCAAGAATGCTACTGCCACCGTTAGTTCATTTGTTATTCTCTCCCCCGACCCCCACCCTTCTCTCTCTTTTTCCTGAGACGGTTTTTCTGAGTAGCCCTGGCTGTCCTGAAACTGGCTCAGCAGACCGGGCTAGACTTGAACTCAAAAGATGCTCCTGCCTCTGCTGCGATTAAAGGCATGTTCCACCACTGCCTGGCTCATTTACTATTTTTAAAATCTTTTAAAATTTATTTGTGTCTGTGAGTGTGCACACACACAGCATAGAAGCTGCAGGCCAACACTAGGGCATTAGAAGGATTTATTATCTCTACTCTTGCTGACTTCCAGGCGCTGGAGTTAAGTTATCATAGGGACACTTGAACGTGGCTCGACTGTAAATGAATGGAGCATTAAGATGGCACTGGATACAGAAGGCCCAGAGATCAGTAGCCTCTGATCTACTGATCTACTGACCCTAACAGATTCAACCCAGTTTTTTACCCTGAGGACCAGAGATCCAGGTCTAGAGCTGTTCACCAACAGATGGTGATATCTGGCAAGATCTTAGTCTGATTTTACAGATATTATAAAGCAAAGATATTAGCAGAATAATCAGGAATATACAAGGAGGAGGAGGAGGAGGAGGAGGAGGAGGAGGATCCTTTAAATTTGGTTACATCTTGGTTGGCTATGGTTGCTGACCTAGCGTGCCAGTCACTATCATAGAGACCTGTAAAGCATGGCCCGTTGTTTGCTTTATGTTATCGATTATTTTAATTTTGGTTATATTTTCACAAAGGGTGCTTGAGACCATGCAGGTGGCCAAAATTAATCACATTAAAACAAACAAACAAACAAAACAAACAAACAAACAAAAACCTGTTAAGGGCAGTTGAGGGTCTGGTCCTGAGAGGTCACCAGGTTTGGGGCTCCTTTGGCTAGTTGTTGTGCCATTTATCTGAGGTAAGTCAAAGGCCTTTCTTGACCAGAGCTTTGCTTAGAAGCTTAGAAAATGGATAGTGTCTGGAGTCACCCACTGGGGTAGATAACCTCAGGTTGATATCTAAATTACAGCTCTGGAAGGAACTATGAAAAAAGAGGACCAAACAAAACAGGCAAACACTACCCCTGGTGCCTTACAGAAGAAGAAACCTAAATTAGTATCAATACTGAGGGCGATAACCACTTTAACTTACATAATTGAAACACTGAGACAAACTCATTAAACTGGACAAAATTAGGAAGTCAGACAAGGAGATAGATAGTTTATGGGGCAAAGCCACTTTCGGGTAAGCCTGATCACCTGAGCTGGATGTGTGGGACACACGTGATCCACAGAAAGAATAACTCCTGCAAGTTGTTCTCTGACCCCACATGCAAAGAAGAGAGTTGCACAGTTCAGGAGTGGTGAGACTCACACCTGTAATCTCCACAGCAGGCAGTAATCATAAGTTACTTCAGGCTAGCTTATGCTACGGGGAAACACTGAACTCAGTACACACACCCTCCCTAGAAACGCCTAAGAGTAGGAGCTGTAATGCAGACAAAACAAAATAAGAACCTTACCCAAGGCCAGCATGCCACTGCTAACCCAAGCCACAGCCCTCTATTTTGGTGTTATTTTTGTGCGTGTCCAAGTGACTTTCTGTGCACCACATGTGTGCAGAAGCCCATAAAGTCTAGACAAGAGTGACAGATCCACCTGCCTCTGTCTGGGTCACTGTTTTGGTTTTGTAAGGCTCCCCACCCATTAAGAGAAAGAGCAAGCATGCTGTAAGTTCTCAGTTATAGTCTCAGGGACTCTGTTTCTTTGGGCTTCAGGTTATTTTGGCACTAATTTTAGAGACTATGTGTATTTCAAGATTCATTATGGTTCAAGATCAGATTTGGGATTACTTGTCCTTCAGTAATGTCTGTTTACTGACCTAAGCTGGTAGTCTGTATCACTACGTATCACCTATCACCTGGGAACATGCAAATTTTGGGGTCTTTCCAGGATATACACATTTGAAACTCGGAGGTGAGGCCAACAGTCTGTTTAGTACACATTCTGAGGTAATTCTGATATGTTAGTTCATTAATGCTTTACACTGCACCCTATACCACACATAGTACCACCTGCACCCTGAATCCTCAGAGAGGGCCCTGATTCTTGTCCGACAGTCACTCAATTTGTTTTGTGTCTCTCTAACCAGCTGAGGAAATGAACTGTGCACCTTATTTGCATTATGGTGGTAGTACTGAGTACTACTACCTTCCAGGTTAAACAGGGCTGAGATTTTCAATACTAATCATTAATTATGCTCCCACCATTCTGTAAAGAAAAATAACATGTCCTTCTATAGCTTTTGTCATAGCTCTGGCTGGGCTGTTTTGTGGATCAGGTTGGCCTTGGACTTACAGCAATCTTCCTGAATACTGGGAATACAGACATAAGCCACCAAGCCCAGATTATTGTCTTAACATTTTATAAAAAAATTATATATTTATTTTATGTCTACGAATGTTTTATCTATGTGTATGTAAGTATGTTACGGTGTTCAATGAATGCAGAGACCAGACGAGGGCAATGGATCCTCTGGAACTGGTGTTAAATGGTGTTGTGAGCCACTACATGGGTGCCAGGAAGGTCCTGTAGGTCCTCTGCAGGAGCAGCAAGAGCTCTTAACCACAGAGCTCCTTGTTTTAGCTCTTCACACTGGTACAGGCCCTAGGTTTTCCCTCATGTTATTCAATATGGTGTAGAATTACGAATGGTTTATAGTGATGTGATTTCCATAGAGTACAGAAGACGATGCTAAAGAAGCGAATACAGGCTTTCTGTGTTGGGGGGGGGGGCACAGGCACAGGTGGAGGCTGTAGGCGTCAGTCTATTTGCTGGAGGCAGGGTTCTGGAGGCAGGGTTCTGGTGCTCCAGGGTGGACACCTGGCTACTGGTCTGAGCACTTCTGCAAATTCTATTTCTGCCTCACTTTATGTGTATTGCTGTGTCCAGCTTTATGTGAGTTTTGGGGACCCAAACTCAGGTCCTCTTGATTGTGCAGCAAGTACTTTATCCACTGAGCCACCTTCCCAGTCCTAAAAACTTGTATTAAAGAAAAACTTTTACTAAATTATTAAATAAGAAAAAATTGGAACCTAGCAGGAACATTTTCAAAACAAATCTCTTTTGACTTTGCTGTTGTGAGATATATTTACCTGGGGTGTGGCTGTGTGCTCCATCAGATTCTCAGTTAGAGAAAGAAGTAAGGCATCGAGTTCATCCGTAGCCTCCTGCAGAAGACAAGGCACCAAAGAACACATGAACAATCACCACTGCACCAAGCTCTTTCATATTTCTGCATTTCTAATAGTGTCCTACCTAGCTAGTATTGTTCCTTTAAGCAAAAATGGATTTTTAGAAATGAGCTATCAAAAAGTCCATTTCAAGGAGGATCTATACGATAAAAAGAAGTACTCTGTAAATATCTATGTAGCTATTCCATTTAGACACACAAAACCTGACAGAGTCAAGACAGCAGCTGGCAGGTTTGGATAGGACAGCCATGGTGCCCCAGCTGAAGTTTTCTAAGAGGGAAAGGACGTCCAGGTGGTGGTGACACATGGAGGAACAGAAAGCTAATGCCCATTCAGCAGTAGAATGCGATCATGTAAAGAAGGAAGTTTGCACTTGGTATAATGTTCTTTTGAAAGGTATACACCTTACCCTTGTTCATTCAAATGCTGATTTCTCACGCTCCCCCCCCCCCCCCCGCCCGTTTCAATCCGGATATTGCATTGTGATACTTATTCTAAGCATCACCTGTCTCAACTTTGTGTAAACATCCAAAATAAAACAAATAGCCACAAAGTTGAGCAATAGAGAAGAAGGAGTAGGCGGGAGAGGGGAGGGGCCAGAGGACAGGAAAGAGGGAAGGAGCCAGAGGGCAGGAAAAGAGTGGGAGGCAGAAGGTAGGGGGCAGAGCTAGGAGAACAGAAGCAGGAGAAAAGAGATCTTGGACTGATGTGGAGAGATGGACTGGACCTAATATATCACTAAAAGCAAGTATAATGTGGGAAATCATAGTTAGGAAACTGAGGGCTTGGAGGTTTAGGATGGAGTAACTATTGTCCAACATTGTGTTCTAGGTTAATTAAATAAGTCCCAGTCTCTGTGTGGTGATTTGGTTATACAACTCTTTAGGATTAACAGCAGCATTACCAGAAGATATATCAATAGTATATATTAATCGTTACCTACAACAAGAGAGCTCGAGGAAAACATACTTTGTGTTATGCAGCATCTACTAAAAAAACTGATGTTTAGCAAAGTGCTGTTTGTTCAATTCTAGATGAAGCTGTGGGCTATAATTGCACCATCTTTGCATAAACAAAACAATTATTTTTCAGTCTGATGAAGTTTAAATATGTGTTTGGTTTTAATACTTAAAAATATTTTTTTAAACACATGGTCAAACTAGAGAGTCCAGCTCACTGTGGGTGATGCCCCCCCTGGGCTGGTAGTCGGGTTCTGTAAGAAACAAGCCTGAGCAAGCCATAAGGAGCAACCCAGTAAGCATCATTCCTTCAGTTCCTACCCTGACTTAACTCTGCGATGGACTACGATGTGGAAATGTAAGCTCAATCCCTCCCAAGTTGCTTCTGGTTATGATGTTTTATCACTGTACTATGAACTCAAACTAAGATTAAACCCTAACTAAAATATAATATATATAATAGTAGGATTAAGGGTGATTTACAGTTTTCCTTTTGTGAGGTATCTGGTAAATTTCTACAGCAATTTATATTATGCAATAAAAAAACTGCATGTGTTAAATTGAAAAGAGCCTGGGTTTCTGTGATTTCTGAACTGGTTAGGGTATAGGAAATGTATATGCATGGGCAGAAGCTGGAATGAGATGGTTATATTATAATACATCAGTGAGAAGTGCCCAGTCCTGCACTTACTTACTTAGTGCTTATTACTTGTCATGTATCATTTGAGGCGGCAGAAATACAGGACTGAAGAAAAAAAAAAAGATCATCCAAGAATGTTGGCATACTACTGTAAGTGTAGCCTAGGGAAAGTGAGGCAGAGGGACTAAGCATCAAGGCCAGCCTGGGCTACACAGCAAGGTTGTGACTCAACAAAATTGGTTTACTCACACAACTTATGTTTTCGTAGGAAAACTGGACTATAAATGTCAGTAAAATCATAGACATGCTGGACATACACAGCCTTAACTCCTTCGTCTAATAAGCACTTTAAACCTGTCTGTCTGCATATAACAATGTGCCTTAGAGAAAAACAAGTGAGAGCACAGCCAGCACCCAGACTATCCCAGACTAAAGCAGACATAGCAGCATAGAAACTGGGGAGCAGATTCTAGCTGCTCTTGGTAAGCACCGTCTTCCCTAGAAGTGAGGCTCAGCTCTTCCTTCCACCTCAAATCCAACGCCAGACGTCCCTGGTCACATTACAGTTCAGTTCGATGCTGTCTTCAATACTGTCTTCTTACCTTTAGTACAGATCCACTGTCAGCAGCTGTCGCATGCACCATCGTGAGGGGATCTTCGCAGAGGGCCACGTTATTTCCATTTAATGCAGTACTGGAAGGAAAAAAAAACAAGACCATGCAGACTTGCAGAGAGGTGGCATTGCTGGAGAAACCTCCAGAAAGAAAGGGCAGCTGGAGGGGAACACTCAACTTTGATATCCAAGTCAGATGCCTTTGCTACTGGGTAAAACAGGACATTGCCTTGCTTCCTTCCCAAAGCCATACTTAAATGATAGAAAAGATTTCTCTTTAGGGAAAAAAAAAAAAAAGTCATAGGACCTAAAAATGAAGGGTTGCCCGTATAGTTAAAACCCTTCAGAAAATTCAAAATGATTCACTTTAGAAAAGAATAGTTACAGCTTCAAATCCAAAGGAGATGAGCCGTGAGGAAGATAATTTTTTTGTTTTTTGAGACAGGGTCTTCCTATTCGCTCTGGCTTTCTGTAACTCACTATGTAGACCAACTGGTCTTGAACTCACAGAGATTCACCTGTATCTGCCTCCTAAGTGTTAGTACTAAAGATGTGAGACTACCATGTCTAATTCTGCTGGCTTTTTTTTTTTTTTTTTAATCTGTGATGCACTATATGAATGAGAAAGTTCAGTGGATCACAAATTTGATACATAGCCAAGATAGAAGAGAAGAATAAAGACATAGAAGGAAGCATGGCGGGGCATAGGCAAGTAGAAGCGACACTGAGGACGTTCCAGATTCTGCAATAGATGAGAGGATGCTGAGCTCCTGGGGCTTTCAGACCTGGCATATGATGGGTCTTTATCTCCTGATAAGAACAAGACTTTTCTATACGTGGCTTCAGCGCCAGGAAAGAAAAGGGAGGTCTACAGCTTACTACCCATCAAGTCATCAGCACAGGCTGGAATCCAATCTGCACTATTACCGGAGAGTGTGGGAACATCAGCATCTGCACACGTTTCTCACAAGACCAAGAAAAAACAAAGGATAAAGCCTAGATTGCAAAACATGAAAATGAGTGGAATTTTGGGTTTCCTCCTGAGAGCAGACTAGAATTCAGAGTCCTGAGCATGCAAGTCAGCATGCACCACTAACCTGCAGCCCCAGCCCTGACAACCTTCTTCTTTTTTTTTTTTTTTAAGCAAAGATTTATTTATTATTTATACAGTATTCTACCAGAAGGCCAGAAGAGGGCCTCAGATCTCACTATAGGTGGTTGTGAGCCACCATATGGTTGCTGGGAATTGAACTCAGGACCTTTGGAAGAACAACCAGTGCTCTTAACCTCTGAGCCATTTCTCCAGTCCCTGGCCCCCAACCTGACAACCTTCTAAATGCTGCAAAATATGTCCCAACACAAAGCCAACTATAAAGAACATTTTCTCTATTAAAAAAACACCTTATTGCATTGGTGTATGTATATATATATATATATATATATATATATATATATATATATATACATACACACACATACATACACACATACAATTTTTTTACGTGTGTGTATCTGTGTGAGCACTATTGTATAAGGCATGTCTTACTATATAAGACAAACAGTGGGAGTCAATTCTCTCCTCCTACCAGGTGGGTCCATGGATTAAACTCAGCTTGTCAGGCTTGGCAACAGCACTTCCTCACTGAGTCACTTCCCTGGCTCCTAAAGACTTACTCATCCTTATTTTATGTGTATTACTATCTTTGCCTGCATATGTATATGTACATCATATATGTGCCTGGTGCCCACACAGGCCAGAAAAGGGTGCTGGATCTCTTGAAACTACAGTTACAGATGGTTGTGGGCTGCCTTGTGGGTACTGGGAATGAACCCAGGCTCTCTGAAAAACAAAAAAACAAAGACAAACAAAAAAACCCAAAACAAAACAGAGTGCTCTTAACTGATGAGCCAGCTCTCTAGCCCCATTTTCCTCAGTTTTTTCTTTTTTTCTTTTTTTTTTTTTTAGGTCTTGGCTTCAGTCATATGAAGTATCTGTCAAATCATTAGCTGAGTTCTAAACTAGGGCAGCATGCATCAGAGACCACAGATAACAAAGACATCTCAAAATGTTACTTTGAATAGTTATGAACTATTCTATAACCACACAGCAGGCAGAGCCAAGACAGCTTGAGAGAGAAGAATCAGCTTTGACAAGTACATCAACAAGATCAATATGTCCACTTTTCAAATGAAATATGACAGCCTGTGGCTCATTCACAAGCGGAAATAATGCAGCAGAAGCTCAGAAAACACAACTGCAGTGGGCCAACAGCTCAACAAACAAGAAAACTAAAAGGAAATAGATAAATTTCTGGATATATAAGACCTACCAAAGTTAAATCAAAATCAGAGAAGCAACTTAAACCCATAACCCTTAGTGAAATAGAACAGTCTCTCAACCTAAAAAACAAAAACAAAGTCCAAGGCCAGTTGGATTCAGTACAGAATTCTACTTGAAAGAAGACTTAATACCAATATTCCTCAAATTATCTTACAAAACAGAAACTGAAGAAACATTTCCAAATTCATTTATAAGGCTAAAGTTCCCTGATATTTAAACCACACAAAGAACCAAGAGCAAAAATTTAAAAAAGAAGAAAATTACAGACAAATATCCCTTATGAACATAGATGCAAAGAATCTCAACAAAATACTTGCAAACTGAATATACGAACACAACAGGGAGGAAGGATGAGACTGGGAGGAGATGAGGGAGGGCTACAGCGGGGATACAAAGTGAATAAACTGGAATAAATAATAAAGAAAAAAAGAACAAGATTATTTGCCATGGCCAAGTACACCTCATCCCAAAGATACAGGGATGGTTCAACGAATGTGAGTTGATAACTATAACCTACCACGTAAGAGACTGAAAGACTAATCATCTCACATAATCATCTCACTAGATGCAGAAAGACCTTTGACAAAATCTAACGCCCCTCATGATAAAAGTCCTAGAGACCAGGGATACAAAGAACATATCTCAACATGATAAAGGAGATAATACTGCAAGCCCCTACCCAACATAAATGAAGAGAAACTCAAAGCATTTCCACTAAAATCAGGAACAAAACAAGATTATTCACTCTCTCCATACCTACTCAATTTAGTACTTGATTTCTTAGGTAGAGCAATAAGACAACTAAAGGAGATCAGGGGATGCAAAAAGGAAAAGAAGTCAAAGTATCTTTGAAGATGAAGATGATATGACAGTATACATAAATGACCCTAAAAACTCCACCTAGAAACTTCTTCAGCTGATACACACTATCAGCAAAATAGCTGGATAGAAATTTAACACACAATAATCAGTAACCTTCCTATATTCAAATGAAAGACAGAGAAAGAAAACAGGGAAACAATACTTTTTACAATAGCCTCAATCTTGGGATAACTCTAACCAATCAAGTTAAAGACTTGTACTGTATAATAAAGCCTTTAAGACACCGGAAAAATTGATAAAAAAACAAAACAAAACTGATAAAACAGAGACAGCAGGGAAAGGACCAGTTCATTGGATACAGTTAGGAACAATCAAACAGAGGCAAGAACGAGGAATAAACAAATGCCCAACAACACAGACAACTGGCAACATACTAAGAAAAGTGGCAGAAGAGAAGGAGGGGACAGCAGAGATATTTGCTCAGTCAATGGCAGAGTCTTTGGCGTCAGTTTACTGGTATAACAAGATGAAACTGAGATTAACTATGAAACTCAAGAGTAGTACATACTAATTAAACATGATTTTTTTTTTTTTTTTTTTTGCTCTATAGTTTGAATCAATTAAAGAAAAATGAGAATGTGGAAGGACTGAGAATATCTTCAAACGATCTAAATCTAGACACCAGCTGGCTTTCTGATGGACAGCAAAGGGTGAATTCAAGCTGTCTTTCAGATAGATATAATGAACCCGTTGATGGTGTACAGAGAAGAGGTAGCCAGGAAAAAAAAATCAACTTAATTCAGTTTATCCAGGATTGTACCTGTTTGTGGCAGTATCCTGAGCGCTGGCATTTTTATGAGTTAATAAACTATCTTCTCTTGTAACCTAAGAAAATAAAATGTTAAAAAACACTGAATCTTTGAAAGGATACTCAAGTAACAAGTTTATCTTTTTTTCCCTGTAAAACTAGAAAACATCAACTTGCTTTCGCTCAAATAAGAGATAAATATATCTTACCAATAGCATATCTAGTACAGTTCCTTTTTAAAAATAATTTATTTAATTTTATGTGCATTAGTGTGAAGGTGTCAGATCCCTTGGAACTGGAGTTACAGACAGTTGTGAGCTGCCATGTGGGTGCCGAGAATTGAACTCGGGTCTTTTGGAAGAGCAGACAGTGCTCTGAACCACTGAGCCATCTCTCCAGCCACCTCTAGTACGGTCCTATCCAACAGCCAGATCGATAATCTAAGACTCAAGTTCAGAGTATTGAATGTACATGGTACATCTTCTTACCACACAGCTACAGTGTTACCCAATACAAACAAAATTCACAAAGATTCAAAGACAGCATTTTTCAATTTACACAATTAAAAAAGAACATGGCTGGCTCTATGTCTGGATCCTATTTCTTAACTGAAATGAATATTTTAAAAAGGAAATCCAATAGTTTTTCTAAAGAGCTGTTTTAGCTAACATCATTGAGGCAATATTTAACACAATAAATGTACTCACTTCATGGCTGATGAATTCTGATAAACATTCCTAGGTGCATAACAAACATGTAATGTTTCATTATTCCCCTGCCCAGAGGCATTCATACAATTTCACATAAATTGCAATCATATAATGACTACTTTATAACCAAGCCGGTAGGTAGCTCCCATTCATGGCTTCTGCTTCAGTTCCTACTGTCTTGACTTTTTTATTGATGGACTATGGCTTATAAGAGTGAGATAAAATAAACCTTTTCTCCCCAAATTGCTTTTGAGAGAAAAGCAACAATAGAAGCCTAAGACAGGTTGTACCAGGTTCATGGGGAATTACTGAAATAGGCCTGGCTGTTCTTTGAGGCAGACTGTGGAAGGGCTTCAGCACTTTGGGCTAGAAAAGCTGTTTCGCGATCACAGATCACAGCTTAATGAGCTGTTGTGGGAACTTAGAAGATACAGCCGAGAACGATGCAGTTGATGGGGGTCTAGTTTATGAAATCCCTTTACTGAGAGGGAAGTAAAGACTCTTGGGCTATTGGTATGCTAGTCTATATTAAGACTCTGTGGTTCTGGTCAGCTGGGGCTGAAGACTCAGCTGTAATTACATGAGACTAGCATCACTGAGGCAAAATCTTCTGGCAAGTGTTTCCTCAGGGTCAGCAAGAAGTTGTAGTCCAGAGGGAGTTAAGGCCAACCTCTGATGACAGCCAAACTTGGTAATACGTAAGAGTCAATCAGTTTGTACTGGTTTTGAAGGTTATGGAGAGCAGTGAACATATTTTTAAATTTTAAAGTATGTAGGGTTTGAATAAACCCAATTTTCTCCCGACACACAGCCTTGTGTGAACACGGTATATGACTGCACACATATACTGTTCATCACAACATGATTACACTTTCAAAGAACTATCCCATCCCTGTTTGCGAGGAGTACTGGTCTGGAATCTTTTTCTTGCAATACTTTCCCCTGGTTTTGGTACAGGGACAACGTGAATCGAATAAATTAGGAAATTCTCCTTCCTGTCCTACTTTCTGAAAGAGTTTGTATAGAATTGTTATTACTTCTTTTTAAAATACTGTGTAGAGCCAGGTGTGATAGTACACACCTTTAATCACAATATTTGGGAGGCAGGCAGAACTCTGTGAGTTCAAGACCAGCCTGGTCTGCATGTATAGCCAGAGCTACACAATAAAGAGACCATGCCTCAAAATAAATAAATATAACAAAAATCTGAGTAGATTTTTATAATGGAGGCATTTGCTTCTATAAGTTTTTTATGAGGAGGCCTGTCACTATAAAATCAAATCCTAGTAATTTAAAAATATAGAAACTATTTCTCATTTTATCGAATCAAAAAAGATCTGAAAGAATTGAAATGTACGTTCATGTTGTCTTGGTTCATTCTGACTGCTGTAAGATGCCATGAACCAGAGAGCATGCAAATAATAAGCACTCATGTCACTGTGCTAGAGCCTGGGAAGTCTGAGGTCAAGATTCGGGCCCTCACAGGGGACAAGCCAGTTCCTTGGCCTTCTTCCAAGAGCATTAAAAAAGTCAGATTTATGTTAGTCACATCAGCTATTACAGTGATTGCCACTGTCAGGCCATAGGTTTTTGTTTTTGTTTTGTTTTTTGAGCCATGGTCTTACTATGTAGCTTTGGTTGGCCCGGGACTCAGATGCCTTTGCCATCTGAGTACTGGGATTAAAGGCATGTACCACCATCTTTTGGAGGCATTTTCTTAGTTGAGCCTCACTCCTTTTAATCTAATTACTATAGCTTGTGTCCAGCAGACATAAAACTAGCCAGCATATGTGAGAACCATATCTATTGCAGGAAACTGACCTTATGTACGGCTTCTACTTGAGCCTTCAAAATATTACTCTTGAAGTCAGGAGGAACCCTCACTGCATTCAATCCTGGGCTCTCAATGGCATTATTAAGATACTTCTCAGTCAACTTTATCACTTCTTCCTGAATGTTAAAAGATATAATTACTCTTGACAGGTCACAGTTATGTGGAAACAGGAATGTTCAAAGTTCATATTCAGACAACCAAGAAATAACATGCCTCAAGCAGCTGTCTCCTGTCCAAGACAAACTTAAACTTAACCCCTGTAACCATCAACCTATAGATCGAGAGCTTTGGAGTGAAAGGGACTGGTCTCTAGCGGGTCTAATCTAAAACCCACCTGGGATAAATGCCAGCAAGTATTTCATATTCTCCATGAATGGTTTCAGTAACTCAGCTGCTTAAAGAGAGGGCATCAGATCCTGAGATGGATAAAGGTCCTGCATGATTCTAACTCTGAGTTGTCACCAGGGAAGGAGGTGGCTTTTTGTAATAAATTATATGTAACAATTAATGTAGCAAATATGTAAACATTCTTAGATACACTGATAAAAATAATGCACAAATCCACTAAAAAAAAACAAAAACAAAACACTACTTAAAAATTAGCTATTAGAAATAAATGAAGGGAAGCAGAGTAATACATTTAAAAGAATGTAAGCCATCTGTATTACATTTAATATTTTGCTTAACTTAAATCAGCTGGACATAGGTCTAGAAACCATACCACTTTCCAGGTTGGAACAAATTTGATGATGTCCTTATTCCAATTTTGATGTTTTTTTTTTTTTTTTTTTTTAATCTCTATTTCAGCCTCTAGGTAGCATCCCAGAATCTGAACTTAAAAATTTTGTTCTTTGAGAGATTTTCCCTATGTAGCTTAGACTTGCCTTGAGTTAGTAATCCTCTTGCCTAAGGCCCCCAAAGGCTGAGATTAGAGGCATCACCAGCAGATATGGCACCAAGTCTAAATTTTAAACAAGCTTTCCTATGTAATTCTGATATTAAAAAAAAAAAAAAAAAAAAAAAAAAAGTCTGAGAATCACTTTTTAAGATTTGATCTTGAATGTCGGGTGTGGTGGCGTACTCCTGTAATTCCAGCTGTCAGGAAGGCAGAGGCAGGTGGATCTCTGGGAATTTGAGGCCAGCCTGGTCTACAAAGTGAGTCCAGGATAGCCAAGGCTGCACAGAAAAACTCTGTCTTGGGGAAAAAAAAAAAAAAAAAAAAAAAAAAAAAAAGATTTGACCTTGACCTTGCCTGTAACCTCCTGGCTGCTAGTAGCAGAAGTCAGTCTGTTTCTATGTCCCTGTGTTACTGGAGACTGAACCTAGGATTCTGTGCAAACCTCCCTTCTGAGTTTTAATTTAGAGACAGAATCTCACTAAGTTGTCCAGGATGATGTTAAAATCATTGGTGGGCCTTGATCTTACGATTCTTTTGTTTTAGCTTCCCAGATATCTGGGATTACGACCTTGAATCACCAGGCTTGGCTTACAGTAATTCTCTACGACCTTTTACAATGATGGCTCCTTGAAAAAAAACTGACATTTTCACACTTTTCTGAAGACTTCCATGTTGCAGACTTGAATACTTCTTAATCATCATTTGCACATTATAACAACCCTCATTTCAAAGTCTCAGAAACACAAGATACTAAAATGAAAAAAAAAAAAAGCCAAAAAAGCCCCACTTAAATCTGTGACTTTCAGCCAGCCCAATACTGCTTTTTAATTGTCTTAATTTTTTTTTTAAATTATGTGTATGTACGTATCTGTATGTGCATGTAAGCACGATGGTCAGGAGAGGATATCTGATACCCCGGACTGCAGTAACAAGTGACTGTAAGCTACTATTTGGGTGAGCCTCCATGTAGGCACTGGGGGTCTAACTCAGGTCTATGGAAGAGCTGCCAGTACTCTTCACCACTGACCATCTACCTCTCCAGCCCCTCAGTATGTCTTTAAAAACAAAACAAAACAAAAACAAAAGCAAAAACAAAACAAAACAAAACAAAACAAAAACATCATGAGCTGGGCATATGCCTTTAACCCCAGCTCCAGGGAGTGGGAGGCAGGCATATCTCTGAGTTCAAGGCCAGCCTAGTGTATAAATGGAGTACCAGGACAGTCAGGGCTACATACAGAAACCCTGTCTGGAGGACTTCCATCCCCCTCAAAAACAAACAACCAACAACAACCCTCCCCAAGCAAACAAATACCATGAGAGACCTTAAATTTTATTTATTTTTTAGAGAATGCCTTACTAGGTAGCCTTGGCTGGCCTGAAACTCAGTATGTACACCATGCCAGCCTTGAACTCACTGAAATATAAATTTTTTCATGCAATTTATTTTAATTTTATGTGTATGAGTGTTTTGCCTGCGTGTATATATGTGCACCACATGTATGGCGTCCACAGAGTTCAAAAGAGGGTATCTGAAACTGGAGTTACAGATGGTTGTTAGCTGCCATGTGGGTCATGGAATCAAACCTGGGCCTTCTGCAAGAGGAACAAATGCTCTCTTAGCCACTGAGCCAGCTCTTCAGAAGCACCACCCACTGAGCTCAGCCCTCTTCAGCCCCATTAATTTCTTAATGTTGTCATGCAAATTTCCTCCTTCCCTCCTACATATCCACACATTTCATCTTTTAAAATGGGATTAGAGCCCACCAAGAATGAGGCAGAGCTGCTGTGCTGCCTCCTTTTCCTGTCAGGCTGACAGAGGTTATCTGAAAACGGGGGTCTCCACTGAGAAAACAGCCCCATCAGACTGGCCTGCCAGCAACCTGTGGGCAGTTTCTGGATTGATATAACAGAGCCCAGCCAATTGTGTACTGTCCCTGTGGTTCTGGGTTATAGAAGAAAGCAGACTGAGCAAGCCTGTCTAGGAAAGTAAGTCTTTCTGGGAATTATCTTGCTGTATAACAAGTAGACACAGGAGAGATCCCAATACCTGGCTGTTGACATTAATGTCAATGGTAGGTCGAGGACATGGCAAGATATTCTGCTCCATTTCAAGCTGTTTGAGCTTTTCGGTGTCATCTTTTAATGCTGAAAAAAAAAAAAATAGTGAAGCTTCTCATTAGTCTACCTGACCATGACAGCTATATGAGGTATACACTGAAGTTCTGTTTTTCCTCTATTAAAAGTAGAATATCCAGATGAATATAACATTTTCCACCAACTCTCTAAGAGTTAATCTTAGGGCCGGGCTTGACAGTGCATGGTTTTAGAGACAGGCAGATCTTTGAGTATAAGGCCATCAGGGTCTACATAATGTACCCTGGCTTAAAAACAAAACAAAACAAATAACAACAACAACAAAACCACAGAGAGAGCATTATTCTACAGCTGGGCAAGGTTTCACAAGCCTTACTCTACCTGGTAGGCAGAGTCATGAAGATCTCTATGAGGTCAGGACCAGCCTAGCCTGGTCTACAGAGTGAGTTACTGACCATGGTGGGCTAACTAGAGACTGGAGAGATGGCTCAGTGATTAAATGCAATGGCCGCTATTATTCGGGTACCAGGTTCAATTGCTAACATCCACACAGCAGCTTGGCAGCTCACAGCCATCTGTAACTCAGTCGTAGGAGATCGATGACCTCTTTGGCTTCTATAGCCAATGCATACACAAGGTACAGACACACAGGCAGGCAAAACACCCATACACACAAAATAAAAAGTTAGCTGGGTCGTGGTGGTGCACATCTTTAATCCCAGCACTCAGGGGGAAGATCTCTGTTGGAGGCCAGCCTCATCTAGAGAGCAAGTTCCAGGACAGCGAGGGCTGTTACACAGAGAAACACTGTCTCGAAAAACAAAACAACAACAACAAAACACACACACACACACACACACACACACACACACACACACACACAAAAAAAAAAAAAAAACCACAAAAGAAAAGTTAATAAGAAGTAGGTATGATGTCCTGTGTTCACACGGCTGGTAAAACACAACAGCACATGGACACAAGGGCTCTTAATTGCCTGTATGCTTAGGGTTTGCACAGTCAAGACACTGAGAAAGCAGAGATCACTGTGGTAAGGTCTTTTCTCTTTTAACCTCATCTGAGATTCATGTCTAGCCTCAGTACTTTACTATTTCATTTTTGCTCGACTATATATACACTACTGCAAACTAAACATATCTGGAGAGACTACGAAAGGGCATATACTTACTTGCTAACTAATTCAACATATTACATATTGGTTGAAGTTGGCAAGCACTTTTATCTGATGAATCATCTCATCAAACCTAAATACAATTAAACGAACCCTATTTAAGATAACTACCCTCCTGCCAATCACAGTGGAGCACATCTTTAATCCCAGTACTTGGGAGGCAGAGGCAGTTGGATCTCCATGAGTCTGTGGACAACATGGTCTACATAGTGAGTTTCAGGACAGCCAGAGCTTCATAGTGTGAGATCTTGTCTTGGGGGCAGGAGGGGGAGGAGAAGAAGTAAATGTAAATAATGATATTACTATTACTGCCCTAGAATAACCTTACATTGTAAGGATTTAGTGTGAATTTGAATTTTTACTGTCACTTGACAAAATTGCTATTGAGTATCTCTCCTTTCTACATAATCAATTAGGGGAGGGAGTCCTTTGGGTCAAATGGATCTTCTGAAAAATGCCTGTCAATAAATCCAGTAGATTCTCTTTCTGGCGGAACATTAGAACCGTATCAATGGCCTTCAAGAAATTCCGGATCCCTGGACTTGTCTTAAGAATAATCTTTTAAAAAATCTTTTGTTCTGGTGCACATGTGTAGGCCAGAGGACAACTCTGAGATGTTGGTTGTACCCTTTTAATTCTTTCTTGCCACCAAAGGTTCTGCGGATGGAACTCAGGCCTCCAGGCTTACTTGGTAAACATTTTTACCCACTGAACTATCTCATTGGTAAAGAATAATTTTATCAGACTCTATAGAACAGTGGTTCTCAACCTTCACAATGCTGCAGCCCTTTAACACAGTTCATGTTGTGGGTGACCACCACACATAAAATTATATTCGTTGCTACTTTATAACTGTAATTTTGTAACTGTTATAAATTGTAATGTAAATATCTGATACTCAACCTTTGTGAAAGGGTCTTGGATCCCCCAAGGAGTCATGACCCACAGGTTGAGAACGGCTGCTCTAGAGGAAAGACTGATACTGGATATCTCTTAAACTCTCCGTGGGATCTTAATACACAGAGATACAAGTCACTAATTCGATGCTGTTTTTTGTTTTTTTTCTCTTTTGGGACACGGTTTCTCTATGTGACCTTGGCTGTCCTGGACTCACTTTGTAGACCAGGGTGTCCTGGAACTCACAGAGGTCTGCCTCTGCCTTCCCAAGTGCTGGTAGTACAGGCATGCACTACTGAGCCCAGCCTCAATGCTGGTCTTTACTAAATCTTCTTTATCCATTTATTTAATTCCTATTTCTCTATTTCTGGCTTTCTTATGTTATAAAATATTTATGTAAAATATTGATGCTGACACTACAGATGTTTTAAGTTGTACTGATAAACTAGTATTCTCTAGTTTTTGAACTAAAGCTGCTTGGCTGACAAACATCCTGAGATACGGAACAAATGAGCAAAAAACAAAACCAAAGAAAAACTAGCCACTATTTTTACCTACTCTTACCATGGCAAAAAGTCTTTTCTATCTGAGACAAATAGCCCACCATGGGCCAGTATTCCATCTTGTGAAATTCTGGACCAATTTCCATGTAGACAACTCCCTTGTCACACTAGCTATTTCAATAGCTATTAAAGTGCCTGAAAACAGAGCCTCTCAAGACCAGCCTTAGGGGCCAAAGGGGGATGGGGGGATTGAACCAAATGGATGAATGCTCTTGTGAGTGCATCAAGAAATTCTAGTAGATTTTGATTTGGATATTAAAAAAAAAATCCTATATTCTGGTTTTTCCTAATCCCTAGCATAGGACTTAAAATGCTAGTAATGTTTGCCTTTAATTCCCCTCACATTTATTTGTGGGCAACAGCTAAGGATACCCTTTTCCACCCATACTCAGCAGTTATTTAAATAAAACTACTGGTGCACTTTTGTCGTTGTTCAGATGGGCCCACTGCAGTGGTCCCTTGACTGTCCCAATCACCCAGAAGAAGCCAAAATGGACATTGTTCCAATTCTATAATGGCAGTTAGTTTTAGAGAATATGAAGAGACAATGATGAGAACAGGAAGTGCAAACTGGCTAGTTGGTTTAGGGTGGTAATATATCTCTCTCCCTCAAGGTAACCAGTTTCTTGGTTGAAAGCCAAAAATGTTCTTGTCTCATGGTAGCTTCATCTTTGCCAAGTCTAGAGCTTCAGGATTACCTTTTCAGAGAGGATACTGTTAGAAGAGTTAAAGGTCATTAAAAGAAACCTTCTAGTCAAAGAACATAACCTCTGGCCTCACATTCAAGTTGGTCCAGGTCAATTTTGTAGCCAAGGGCCACTACCAGGAAGGTGGCTCACCTAAAGCTGTGCTAACAAATTCCTAGTGTGTGTTAGGGGCCTTATCCAGAGGTTCATCAGACTGATCTCAACTAATATGTCCAGTCAGCTTTAACAATAACTTACTGTTACTAGGGACTTCAGAAAGCCAGTGTATGCTAGGTGGGTTTGACAAAAACGTGAGGGCTGGAGAGATGACTCGGAGGTTAAGAGTACTGACTACTCTTCAGGAGGTTCAATTCCCAGCACACACACTGCGGCTCACAGACACCTATAATGAGATCTGGTACCCTCTTTCTGGGGTTCAGGTGTAGACACAGATAGAACATCGTGTGCAGTCTTTTCTTTCAAAGATAGTTAAACAGCCAGAGCTAGTATTTTTCAAACCTCCTCCACCTTGTGAAACTACTGCATACTTGCCTGTTTGCCTGACCTCTAGATGCCAAACATTCCTGAGACTTGACTCTACCACACTCCTTCCTTTAGCACCATTTAGCTAATCATGTCAGACTATAAGGTCAGAGCTTCTATAATTTTAATTTATAGCCAAAGAACAAGTAAGAATTCAGAATGACCAACCATAAATGTATAAACATTTGTGATACTACATACCTTATAATGTTATATTATCTTAGCTCAGAGCATAGCTCAGTGTTATGAGTTTATGCTACCTTAAACTTTCTCCAGTGTTCTTAAATCAAAAGGAATGATTAGACATAATATTTTTGGAAAAAGTGGTTTAAATATCTCAATTCAAAAAGGAGATGTAATCAAAGGGTGCTGGGGTTGCGATAGCTCATTGGGTAAAGGTACCTTACTGGAAGCTTGAGGATGGCAATCTAAGTTTGAGGCAGAAGAAGAGAAGTGACCCTCAAAGTTGCCTCAGATCTCCACATGCACAACATGGCACAATCCATCAAATAAGTACATGCAATAAAAACATTTTACATATCATTGATAAATTACAGAACAAGTACTTACTCTCGCATTCAACTTTGGGCTCTAATTCATTTGACCTGGTGGCTACATTAATGTTATCTGATGCTGGGGATGTTTCCGAAGTATTTGAAGTTCTTGTTACATCACCAGTGGTTGTTTCTAGTAAGTCTGGGCTATTTAGAAAATCAATATTCTGAGGCAAGCTGTAAAAGTAACAGAAAGTTTACTTAAACCAATATGCTTATCATTTAAGTAAATTAAAATACAAACAAGAAACAATGTCGGAAAAAATTAATTGAAGAGTTTTATTGAACTGGCTTTATTCACCTTTTATAATCTTCAGATATAATTTTTCCAGTTAAGATGAAATAAAAGGGAATGAGATAGCTTTCTACCTGAAATAACCTGAAGGGGAAAAATACGCTATTCTTAAGACACTAGACAATGACAAGAGATAACAAAAAAGAATGATCCTGAGAACCAAAAAAACAAGAGGGGAACCTTACAGCTGCCTTGAAAACATGTTCAGGCCACTGTGCAGAAATGGGGACAGGTGGCAGAACAAGGGACTATCTTAGATAACAGGATGAGATGAGTAATCTTTCTCAGCCTGGGGAGATCAAGGAAGCCAGAGATTTGTGAACAAACAAACACCAGGTTACTAATGAGGCATACCCTTGGCTGTGTCCTTGAGAGTGTTTCCAGACCAGTTTAACAGAAGAGGGATACCTGATTAGTACCAGCTGTGGTCCCAGAATGAATAAAGAGGGAGAAAAGGGGATTGGATAAATGGTTTAGTGGGTAAAGTACTGGCCTTGCAGGCTTAAGGGCCTGAGTTTGGAGCCCCAGAACCCATGTAAGGACAGACACAGTAGCAGACAAAAATACATAATCTCAGGGCTCCTACCAAAAGATGCAAAACGGAGACTGGAGCATCTCAATGGTTAGCTAGCCTAGGATGTGTGCAAATATCGACAAGCGATGCTATCAAAGATGATGCAAAACGAGGACCAACACCCGAGATTGTCCTTTTACCATAGTGATACACAAATGTGCACAGCGATTAAAAATATAAATAAATAAAAAGGAAGATGGAGAAAGCCAGCTGAACACTGGCATTCACATTTATGTTTCTTAGTTGGCACCAAGGACCAAATTACTCCTGCCATCAAGCTTTCACTTGAGGATGGACTGCATTCCTTTGAACTGCAAGTCCAAATAAATCCTTCTCCCATTAACTTGCTTCTGTCACAGAAACAGAAAGTAGCTGATACAAGATCAAAGGCCAAGTGCCAGAGGAGCAAAGATACAGAGTCCTGGAGATGCCTGGAGACATGAGAGAGGCATAATGGTGACATTTGTTAGAAAAGCACCCTGAAGGCCTGGGAAAGAATTACTTGAAAGGGTGGAGGGGAAGGTTGGACAGATGGCTCAGTGGGGTCTTCCAGAGGACCCAGGTTCAAATCCCAGCACCCACACAGCAGCTCACAACTGTCCATAACTCCAGGATCTGACACTCTCAGACAGACATATATGCAGGCAAAACACCGATACACATAAAATAAAGGTAAATAAATTAAAAAAAGGAAACGACTTAAGAAAAGATTCTCTTGAAGAGATTAGAGGAAAGTCACGTTGCTAGGCAATGTGTCGGTTTCTGCGACAGAGCACTGAGTGTTCAGCAGCGCTAACCCACAGAGCACTGTGCATGGCACACCCACCTCATCACAGAAGTGAGGTCAAACAAACGTAAAACAAACCTCAGAAGACTTCATGTGGTAAAGCAACAAAGTAAGACTGTTGAACTACTCAGTAGGTGGCAGCTATACAGAGAAGTAGCAGCCATGACACTATCGGAGGAGAATAAACAACTTATTCCAATTGAATAAGTTGGAGCAACAATAATCAAGACAGCATGGTATTTAATTTTTTATTATTTTTGGAAAGATTTATTTATTATTTATACAGTATTCTGCCTGCCCAGGCCAGAAGAGGGCACCAGATCTCATTATAGAATGGTTGTGAGCCACCATGTGGTTTCTGGGAATTGAACTCAAGACCTTTGGAAAAACAGCCAGTGCTCTTAACCTCTGAGCCATCCCTCCAGCCCAAGCATGGTATTTATTAGTGCAAAGAGTGTGAAGATTAATCTTGATTTTACCAAAACACTTAGGAGATGAACTACAAATGTGAAGGGAGTAATGGAAGAGGGAGCCTGGCCTGAGTGAATAGGTCACTTGGGTCTGGTCTTGAAGGGCAGATCATGCCTGGACACTTACTGTTCTTGGGGTGGATAGTATGAACTGTTCTACTCTACCACACCCTCGCCAGGACAATGAACAGAAGCCTCTGAAACCATGAAAAAAAAAACAAAAAAAAAAACAAAACAAAAAAAAAAACAAACAAACAAAAAAAAACAACAACAACCCCAAATCTTTCTTATTAAGTTATTTCAAGACTACTACCACAGCTAAAGGAAAGCTTAGTTGACAGATAGCTCAAGACTTGAGGTTCTAGACAAATCAATGAGAGGACAGTTTTGTTTTGTTTTTTTTTTTTTTTTTTCCAATAAACTGGACAAGTGTACTCACTATTTTGGTGGTTTAAAAAAGTTAGTGTGTGCATATGCATGTTTGAGGTTATGCAGACATGTTCCAAACTGTGAACAGCAGGCACAGGTATGTATGAGTCTCACGTGGAGGACAGACAATCCCTGGTGCCAGTCTTCACTTTCGACCTTGTAACAGGGCCTCTGGGTGTAAATGCCAGGCTAGCTGGCTCAGGTGCCCTCCAGGGATTCTCCTGCCTGTGCCTCCCATCTCACCATCAAGTGCTGGGATTACACAGTAAATGCGTCTGTGAATGCATGTTTGTGTAGCTGTGGAGATTAATGTTTATCTCTTTCCACCTAGTCTTTTTGAGACAGGGTCGCTCACTAAACCAGGACTTTATCAATTTGGCTCTTCTGGCTAGCCAGTGAGCTCTAAGGATCCACTTCTCCCAACAACCCCCCAAAGCCATACCCAACACGACAGTGCTAGGGTAACAGATGCATATCAACATATTCAGCTTTGCTGTGAGTTCTGAGGAATGAATTTATACATTATTGACTTGACTGAGTTATCTCCCAGCTCCAATCCCATTCTATGTGGATGTCTAGCTGATTCAACACCATCAATTCCATAAAAAGTTAATCAGAGTGGTGGCATACACCTGCAATCTCAGTACTCAGGAGGCTAAGGCTGGATGGTCAGTGAGAGGCCATCTTGGGTTACATACATAAGACTCGCCTCAAGAGACTGGAGGAAAAAGAAAGTAAGTTAAAAAGTAGGCCTGATGGTGCATGCCTGATTACAGTACTTGAGAGGTAGAGACAGGTGAATTTGGAATTGGAGGCCAGTCAGAGCTTAGTGTCCTCTACAATTAAACAAGAACGAGAATTACTAAATGAGCAAAATTATTAAAAAAGACCAGGTTAATACGAAAATGAAAATTTTCTATCAGCAAAAAACCCAGTAAAAGTAAAATAATGACAAATGAACTGAAAATATATTTGTAAATAATATATACAGAAAAAAAGAAAAGACTATCAGATTATTTTTCCAAAGGGATAAGATGGGAACAGGTAACTTGGAGCAAAAAAGCAAATGGTTTCTATACAAATACCAATGGTTCATGAGGGAAACTTAAAGGTTAACTACCCTGAATCTTCACTACAGTGTTAATTTCCTGGCTCATTTAGTCAAATTTCCTAGTGTCGTTGTGTTTGGGGGCTGAACCCAGGGCTGGGCTACACCTCCAGGTGAAATAACTACTTTATGGTACACTCAGTGCAGCTCAAATAAAACTGTGTAAAAAAAAGTAAACATCCCTTCTTAATGCTCACATCAGCAAACCCTCAACATCTGATTATACTCAGACCTGTGGGAGGCCAGACTCTACTGCTCAGACGTAGAATCCAATGTATGTGATTCCTGCACTAGCTTAATGAATGCTGAGTCTGTTGGGAGCTGGATTCTCAGAAAGAAGGGAACTAGGAATAAGAAATCCAGAAAAGCCAAGAACCACAAGTATTGGCTTTAAATTTATCAGCATAAATTTGTGACTCAAACATAGAATCATTTTGATTGAGTCCAGAAGCATTAGAATCTACAGCAGGAATGAACAAGACCTACTATTGGTCAGATTGTGGCTCCAAAGATTACACCAAAATTGGTGTCTTAAAAGAATGGCTGACGTCAAAGCCAAGTGCAGAAACTCTGGTACCAGTGTAAGAAATCTGGGGGAAAACTTAGTGGTACTGATATAGTCTGACAGGGCTCCCACAAACCAAACCTAAACAGTTTGCCAAAATGGTAAGTCATGGACCAACACATAGGTTGAATAAAGAGTTTATGAGCCCATGTATAAGTAGACAGAACTTTAAATTAGTTCTTACTATAGAATATCAACTTACCAGTTTAGGGTGATACTCAGCCTAGCGTGATTTGCCACCATTACAAATGATACCTAAGTTTTAACATTAGGTTACATTTAAAAAAAATATCTTTTTAAATTAATTTTTAGTTTCTTATGTATGCCAAGGAGAAAGTGTGGAGGCCAGAGAACAACCGGTGAGGGAATCAGTTTCTTCCTCCCACCGCTTGGATCCTGGGGACGGAACTCAGCTTGTTGAATTTGGCAGCATGTGCTTTTACTTGTGTGATCTTGCTGCCCCTAGGTTTCATTCATTCCTATCCCCCCATGCCACCGCCCGGACAGAGTTTCTCTGTACAGTCTTGGTTATCCTGGAATCCCTTTGTAAACCCTGCTGGCTTTGAACTCACAGCAATCTACCTGCCTCTGCCTCCCAGAGTGCTTCGATTAAAGGCATGTGCCACTACGCCTGGCCCTAGGTTATATTTCTTAAGGAGAGAGAATATTTAAAAACAAAAAACAAAAAACACAAAACGCATGTGGTAAGTTTATTACATACACTGAAAACTTGAGAACATAAAACTTGATAGATATATGGGCTGGAGAGACAGCTCAGTGGTTAAAGTCACTTGCTACTCTTGCAGAGGATCTGGAAAACCAGCACCCAAATGGTGGCTCATTAACCACTAATCAGTAATTCCAGTCCTAGATCTGACACTCTGACTCTTCAGGCACCAGGCATGCACAGTGGTGCACACACATGGAAACAGAACACTCATGCACATAA